TTTTTGATGTTAGCCATTCTGACCAGTGTGAGGTGATATCCATTTGTTGTTTTGATTTGCATTTCTCTAATAATTAGTGATGCTGAGCATCTTTTCATATGCCTGTTAGCCATCTGTATGTCTTCTTTGGAAAAATGTCTATTCTGGTCTTCTGCCTGTTTTTTGATTTGGTTTCCTGTTTTTCAGATATTGGATTGTATGAGCTGTTTATATATTTTAGATATTAACCCCTTGTCAGTCATATCATTTGCAAATATTTACTCCCATTTAGTAGATTGTCTTTTCGTTTTGTTGATGGTTTCCTTTGCTGTGCAAAAGTTTTTAAGTTTAATTAGGTTCCATTTGTTTATGTCTGCTTTTATTTCCTTTTTAGGAGATGGATCAAAAAAATTATTGCTACAATTTATGTCATAGAGTGTTCTGCCTATGTTGTCCTCTAGGAGTTTTATAGTACCTAGTCATACATTTAGGTCTTTAATGCATTTTGAGTTATTTTTGTATACAGTGTTAGAGAATGTTCTGATATCATTCTTACATGTCATAAGCATTTTGGGGTCATCCTGAAAAAACTCTAAGGAAAGGTGCCATTTTTCTGAATTAGTAAATTCTTTTTTAAAAATAATTAATTAATTAATTAATTTTTGGCTGTGTTGAGTCTTCATTGCTACACGTGCGGGCTTTCTCTAGTTGCAGCGGGTAGGGGCTACTCTTCGTTGCGGTGCACGGGCTTCTCATTGCGGTGGCTTCTCTTGTTGCAGAGCACGGGCTCTAGGTGTGTGGGCTTCAGTTGTTGCAGCACGTGGGCTCAGTAGTTGTGGCTTGCGGGCTCTAGAGCGCAGGCTCAGTAGTTGTGGTGCACGGGCTTAGTTGCTCCACAGCATGTGGGATCTTCCCTGACCAGGGCTCGAACCCGTGTCCCCTGCACTGGCAGGCTGATTCTTAACCACTGCGCCACTAGAGAAGTCCTAAGAAGATTCTTTTTAAGAAGCTGTCAAACTTTTTCAAAGCAGCTATACAATTTTACATTCCCACCAAAAGTGCATAAGGTTTCCAGTTCCTCCACATCTCACCAACACTTGGTAAAATATATATTTTTTTAATTTTAGCCGGTGAATAAGAAAAATACGTAGTCCTTTCCTCCTCTGTTTCTCCTTTACTCTCACACTATCACCACATTCACAATACTTCTGACGCTTCTGGTTACCAAATGTGTAGGGTTTTTTCCCCCACATTAAGCAATTTTCTGTGACACCAGATGGCTGTTCCAAAATTTAACTCGATTCTGACACTATCTACCTAGAGACAGCATCGGATCCCACAGGCTAAGGGCTCAGTCCCACAAGACTGGCCCCCACTTCAGGTGCCAATTGTAAGCAGTAGGTCGTCACCCAGGTTACCCACAACTTCTATCCAGTATGGCTACAGATAGAAGGTTCTCATGACCCCTTCCTCGGGTTTAATTTGCTAGAGTGGTTCAAGAACTCAGGGAAATACTTATTTACATTTACCAGTTTACTAAAAAAGGATATGACATAGGATACAGATGAACATCCAGATGGAAAAGATGTGCAGGGCAAGGTATGTGGGAAGGGGCACAGAGCTTCCAGGTCCTCTCCAGGCAAGCCACTCTCGCCACACCTCTACTGATTCACCAACCCACAAGCTCCCTGAACCTCGTAGCCAAGATTGATCATTAACTCCACTTCCAGCCCTTTCCCCTTCTCAAGAGAATTGTGGGGGCGGGGGGGGGGCGGCGATGGGGCTGAAAATTCCAAGCTTCTAATCATGGCTTGGTCTTTCTGGTGACCAGTCGTCATCCTGGAGCCATCCATGAGCCTATACAGTCACCTCATTAGAAAAAAAGACACTCCTATCACCCAGGAAATGACGATGGTTTCAGGAGCCCTGTGTCAAGAACCTGGGGCAGAGACCAATATATATATTTTTTCTATTATTTTACAGCCAGTTTAGGGGTATTACTGGTATTTCACAGTGGTTTTAATATCTAATAATATAATCAGTAGATAGTTTATTAGTATCTTTTCACGTGCTTATTTGCCATCCATATGTCTTCTTTAGTAAAGTACCTGTTCAAATCTTTTGCCCTTTTTTAAAACTGGGTTATGTGTCACCTTACTAGTGAGATATAACTTCTTTATATATTCTGGATTCAAATCCTTAATCATATATATGTTTTGCAATTATTTTCTCCAAGTCTATTGCTTGTCTTCTCATTTTCCAGATAGTGCTTTTTGAAGCACAAAGATTTTTTAATTTTGATGGAGTCCATTTCATCAATTTTTTAATGGACTGTGCTTTTAGTGTTGTATCTAAGAAATCTCTGCCTAATCCCAAATAGGCAGAGTAGTAAATGAAGATTTACTACTATGTTTTCTTCTAAGAGTTTCATTGTTTTAGCTCTTATATCCAGGCCATTGATCCTATATTTTTTGTTTACTTTTTAAAATTGAAGTATCATTGATTTACAATTATACTAGTTTCAGGTATATCACACAATGGTTCAATATTTTTATAGATTATACTGTTTAAGTTATTACAAAATAATGGCTATATGTCTCTACACTGTACAATATATCCTTGCTGCTTGATCTTACATTTTCTTCTAGAAGTCTTCTAATTCTACATTTTATACTTAAATTTATGATCAATTTTTGTGTAGAGTGTGAAGTAAGGGTCTGTCATTTTTTAACATATGGATGTCCAATTGTTCCAGCACCATTTGTTGAAAGGACTATTCTTTTCTCCAATGCATTACCATGGCATCTTTGTCAAAAACTGACCATATATATCGGAATTTATCTGTTGACTTTATTCTATTCTATTGATCCATTTGTTTACGGCTATAGTTTTATAAGTTTTGAAGTCAGGTATTTATTAAGTCTTTTTGTTCTTTTTCAAAATTGTTTTAGCTCTTCTGGGTGCTTTGCATTTCTGTATAGGTTTTAGACTAAGTTTCTCGATTTCTACAAAGAGACCTACTGGAATTACAATAGGGATTGCAGTCAGCCTACAGATGATCAATCTGAGTCTTCCAATCCATAAAGATAGTATCTCTCTGCATTTATTTGGGTTACCTTTAATTTCTCTCTGTAATGCTTTGTAGTTTCCAGTGTACAGAAATACTTATTTTTAAAACACCAATGATAAAATTCTTACTTAAGCTTTGAATCTGGTATCAAATTGTAACAGCAAACCTTGCAAGTTACTTAAGAATCTTTCTGACACAATTTTAATTACCTTACATTCAACAATGGGACAAACAAATAAACAATGAACAAACAGTAAAGATCTGTTATCTCATAAAGTCTAAGGGTTTTAAAAAGTTCATAAAACCAAGTAGGAAAGAAATTAATGTCTATCTCAAGATGGAATTTTCCTTGACTATTTTGCCCCAAAAAAGTGTTTGGTAGCAGAAACTAAGTACAGATCTTCCTCCACTTATGATGGGGTTATGTCTCAATAAACCCATCATTAAACTGAAAACATCAATAACTCAAAAACCTACCAAACATCATAACTTAACCTAGCCTACCTTAAATGTGCTCAAAATGCTTACATTTGCCTATAGTTGGGCAAAATCACCTAATACAAAGCCTATTTTATAATAAAGTGTTGAATATCTCATATAATTTATTGAACACTGTACTCAAAGTGAAGACCAGAATGGTTGTATAGATATAGAAGAGTCGTAAGTATATTAGCAGTGTTTCACTCGTGATCGCATGGCTGACTGGGAGCTGCGGCTGACTGCCAATGCCCAGCATCATAAGAGAGTATCATACTGCATATAGCTAGCCCCAGAAAAGATCAAAATTCAAAGTACAGTTTCTACTGAATGTGTATCATTTCTGCACCATCAAAAAGTCAAAACATCGTAAGTTGAACCATTGTAAGTCAGGGAAGAAAACCAGATCTAGTACAGATGGTCCCTAATTCCCAAACCCAAGAAAATTCCACAAACTAAAGTCATATCCACAAACTCACATAATTTCTCGCTATATCTGTATGTATATAAAACTTCATACTGCCAACCCAATTAAATACACCATCTTCAGTCTTTCTGTCTCAGTGTTTATAGCATGATTTTCATCTCCAACTGTGAATGTATAAGCTTTCAAGGAAGCATATTTATCAAATAAAATGGGGTTTATATTCTACCAAATGTTCAAATTATGAAAAGGTTTTTTTTAAACTTTGAGAAGTATGAATGTTAACAGAGACTTTTTGATGAGAAACTCTCATTTAAAATAAAAACAAAAAAAAATTCATACCAGAAACCATGTACAATTACACTATTTATAATAGCAAAAAACAGAAACTACCCAAATGCCCACTGACAAGAGAAGATGATATAAACTGTGGTATTTATTTACTGAATATTGAACATTATTGAATATTGTACTGCAGTAAAAATGAATGAACTACAGTATATGCAACAACATGATAAATATTATAAATGTAATGTTGAGGGGGAAAAAAAACAAGTCCCATTTGCTTATGTCTCTAAGCAAAACTAAACATATTGTTTGGGCACACATACATTCATAATAAAGCCTTTTTATAGAGGCAAAGGAATGATATGCACCAAATGCAGAATAGTAGTTAAAGGGGATAGGGAGTAAATGGGGCAAGGGAGGGCAGGAAAATTGAGTCACTAAGGAACACATAAATAGACACATGCAAATTATTAGTAATGTTCCAGTTCCTGGGTTGAATGGAGGGTTTATATGTTTATATGCTTTATAACTTACATATGTCATCTAATTCTTTTGTAAGTATAATTATTTTTAAAAAACATAAGCAAAATCTATTTTTAAAAATCACCCATTATAAAACATTTTCCAGAAGCGTAACTGGGCACTCAGAATATACTGAGTTGGCCAAAAAGTTCACTTGGGTTTCTCCATAAGATCCTAAAACCCGAATGAACTTTCTGGCCAACCCAATACATCAAAAAACAAATTTTTTTAAGTTTTTACCTTTGTTTCTGTTCAACTGCTTTGTCCAAGTGCTGAAAGATATCCTGAAACAGGGTGCAGCTGGATTGACTATTAATCGTATACCCATATCCTCTTTTCCAATATTGTTTCAGATCATTTAAGTATTCTAAAACCTAAAAATACAAATTTCAAAAATCATTACTATTAATTTTTATTAATGTAACAGATTTTCTGATTTAATCATGATTTTTTCAGAAAAGGTTACATTGTTTAATCACCATTCTACACAAAGTATAGTAGAATCTTAGCTTTTACAGAGTTTATACTTACCATTTCAAGCATTTAAGGGTTGAACCTAAAGGTCCATGACACAGAGATTTATGCTGAGACACAAACCCAAATGGGAATGTAGAGACTGACATGCAAGAGCAAGTTAGTAGTACTCACAAGCAGTAATCCAGCATCCATGACAGTTCAGGATACTGGGTTAAAGACATGTGCTCACCTCCGCTTTTTTCTAAAATTATTTTAAGATGATAGCAAAGATATATACAGAAAAAAGAAAAAATGTACATAGAAGAATATTCATTACAGCACAGAAGGTGCCAACAGTGAATCCGGAATTTTTAAGAATTTCAGGAAGGTAGAAACCAGATAGAAAATGAGTTACTTTGGTTCATGTATCAGTTTGGCAAAAAACAGTAATAAAAGTAGACCAAGAGGGCTTCCCTGGTGGCGCAGTGGTTGAGAATCTGCCTGCCAATGCAGGGGACATGGGTTTGAGCCCTGGTCTGGGAAGATTCCACATGCCGCAGAGCAACTAGGCCCGTGAGCCACAACTACTGAGCCTGCGCGTCTGGAGCCTGTGCTACGCAACAAGAGAGCCTGCGACAGTGAGAGGCCCGCGCACCGCGATGAAGAGTGGCCCCCGCTCGCCGCAACTAGAGAAAGCCCTCGCACAGAAACAAAGACCCAACACAGCAAAAAAAAAAAAAAAAAAAAGTAGACCAAGGATATGGAAAACTGGTACTAGAAGGAATGTGTATTAATACAGATGTTCTAAAGGACAGACTGGCAAAATACACAAAAACACACATCTTTAAGGCCCGTTTAATTCTGTTTCTTATAAACTAATATTCACAGAGGAACACAAGAGACAATGTACAAGAATATCTTAGAGTAGCACTGCTTAAAGGAGCTCCCCCCCCCAAATTTCCTGGAAATACCTGAATTTCATTAATAGGTAGAGGCTTAAATAAACTGTGATATACACATACTATGGAATACTATAAGATTATTTATAGATCTACATGAACTGACATGGAAAGATCTCCAAAACATACTGCTAAATGAGAAGAGCAGGTTAAGAATGATAAATACTTACTGGCCTCTGCTACTTGCAAATAGATCAGACCCACCAACTATTATTGTTGTAGTTCAGTGGGGCAATATTATGCCATTTCTGAACCTAGCATGGCCAGAGTGCTCTTTATGTACTGGGTTTTTTTTTTTTTTAGCTGTACGCGGGCCTGTCACTGTTGTGGCCTCTCCCGTTGCGGAGCACAGGCTCCGGACGCGCAGGCTCAGCGGCCATGGCTCACGGGCCCAGCGGCTCCGCGCCATGGGGGACCTTCGCGGACCGGAGCACGAACCCGTGTCCCCTGCATCCGCAGGTAGACACTCAACCACTGCGCCACCAGGGAAGCCCTGTACTGGGTTTTTGTATAAAACCCAGTGTATGTTGTCTAACTGCTGTTGGTAGCAGGAGAAGAGCAAGATGGTGGGGAAGGATTGTACACAGATATGTAGGGAAGGAAGCTAGCTATCTGTAAGTCAAGGAGAGAGGCCTGGAACAGATACTTCTCTTACAGCCCTCTGAGGAGACCAATACTCCTGACATCTTGATTGCAGACTAGCAAAGGAATACATAATTTTCCTTCTTCATTTTCATGAGAAGTAATTGAAAGCTATCATCTATGCAAGGGGAAGCTCTGGTCAGTTATTTTCAGTGTTTTGATCCTTATGCCTTTCACAGATCTAATTCAAATGCTGGATCTCTTCCTTATTAGCTTTGTAATCTTGGACGCATCCCATAATTTAGTTGAGTCTTACTTTCATTATCTGCAAACTGAGAGTTCTAGTACCTCCTGAGAATTGTGCAAAGCCCTCAAAAATGCCCTTAGCACACAGACGTTGTTCAGTAAATGTCAATTGCTTTGTGAATTCCTGTAGTTGTGTGCTGCAGTAATTTTTTTAAAAATAAATTTATTTATTTTATTTATTTATTTTTGGCTGTGTTGGGTCTTCGTTGCTGCATGTGGGCTTCTCACTGTGGTGGCTTCTCTTGCTGCAGTACACGGGCTCTAGGCACGTGGGCTCAGTAGTTGTGGCACAGAGGCTTACTTGCTCCATGGCATGTGGGATCTTCCGGACCAGGGATCAAACCTGTGTCCCCTGCACTGGCAGGCGGATTCTCAACCCCTGCGCCACCAGGGAAGCCCTGCTGCAGTAATTTATATGAGGGGTAATCTTTGTACAATAAACATATTTGTTAAAGACAAAAAAAAAGGAATAATACAGTATAATATCATTTACTAGCAAAATACACACACAATTACACTGTTTACATTTCTAAGAATGGTATAAATTATAAATAGAGCACAGAAAAGGTTGAAAAGTACACATCAAACTGACAGGAGTGGTAGATTTCTGTGGAGAGGTCTTGAATTGGAGTTGGTGATTAAGGTAGCCTTTATCTGAATGTCAAACTTGTACTCATGTATCATTCTGATCCAACACCAAAAATAAAGGACTAAATCTTGAAACCCAAAAGAGGTACAAGAGAAGACTACACAGTAGTTATGAGCCATTCTTCTCAGAAGAGTCCCTAGAGAAATTAAGTGCAAGCCGTAAATTTAAGAGCAAGAGCAAGGGTAGGCCACTGCCATATACCAAACACAAAACTAAACATATATTAAAGAGGCAATTAAATTAAGAAGTTAGCAAAAGGGACAAAGTAAACGTTAAAAAAATTAAAATAAAAAGAATTAGATAAAGTTCTGCCAAATCTATTCAAGAAATAAAACAAAAATAGTATCAGAAATGAAAAAGGAGAGGCGCTTCAAACTGTGGCACAGGGAAAAGGATGTCAAGCAGAATTCGGCAGTCTTGCTGAGTTGAGGAGTCAGAACTCAGAGTTTAGTAAGTCTGAAGTGGTTGGAATTAGCAGGGTAGAGTATCAGAGAGGAGGAAGCTACACAGAAAAAGAACTCCAAAAATCGTGGGGGGGTCCCCTTGATTCTGCTGCCAAAGGCCGTGGGAGTTGTAAGCTGATCAATTCCAGAGCTATCACAAGGCTGAGAGATATTCATGTTCCAAGCGGCCTAAGTAGAGAGAGCTTCCATAGATACCAAGACATCCAGGACTTCAATCTGGACCCCAGAAGAGACATACTTTAATAGTAAAGACATGTGTATAAGTAAGGTTTTGTTTCTGAGTTTTGTAAGGTCAGGTCGAGAGCATGAAACTCAGAAAAATGAAGCCTGAAAAGGATCAAACTGATCCACAAGTAACTTAACTGCAAAATAAAACAAAATTCAATACTTAGAAGACAAAATCCAGGCATTCAACACCATAACGTTCACAGTGTCCAGTATCTAATAAATAATTACTGGAAATACATGAAGAAACAAGAAACATGACTTATAACTAGAAGAAAAATCAGTCAGTAAAAGAATCTATCATAAGAAAGAAGGAATGTAAGGATAATTCAGTATTAGAAAATGTACTAATGTAATTTCTATGTTAGAAGATTAAAGAGGAAAAAAAAATCATCTTCCTAGATGCCAGAAATTCAGCAAACATTCCTGATCTTAAAAACAATAAATAAATAGAAGGTTTTAGTAAGAAACAGAAATTTTCTTAACTTGGTAAGGATAACTACTAGTGACTATGCCAAACATCATATTTTTCAATGAAACACTGAAAGTGCTCTTAACTAGAAAATATAAACAAAGCTTTGGGTTTTAAGATGATGGAATTAAGATATATATGCTCTCTTCTCTCAGAAATCACTCTAAAAAAAGAAGAATGAAAAAGAAATGCAAATGCCCCTTTCAAAGAAATTAGGAGACCTCTGTACCCTGAGCCACCACCATAAATGAGGAAGGACTGCCAAATGCAGTGAAAATCAAATAAAACACAAACAAAACCCCTCAGATAAAACCAACAGAAGACAGATTCTCAAAGCACATTGTACACTTGCAGGAGTAGATCCAATAATCCTTTGCTTGAAACAATAAGAACGAAGTCTAAGAGGAGCCTCCCTGGACAGTATGTAACACCATTACAGGAAACAGACTGATCTTCCATCTTTACAAGAAGCATTCTACAAAGAATCTCAGAGAAAAACTCCAAACTGGAAGGAACACGACTTATCTCTGAATAGCTGCTCATCCCTACTGGCCGTCTGAGAAGTAAAAGCTGAATTCACTGCAACGATGAGTAATAATTTAAAAGGTGCTAGTATCTTTACAAACATACAAATTAAAAACAAGACTGCTACACAGATAAAATAGCCAGAAAAAAACCCCTTACCCTAGAAATTCTGCTACAGAGCAAATGAAAACTATAATTAAATAAACACAGTATCATGAATTCCAAAGACTTAAGAAAATAAAATAATCATTTAAAAAAGAATGAGTCCAAAACAAGAAAAAAAATATATGGAAAGAAGCATAAAGATAGAAATATAAACTGGAACAGCTCCAAAAAATAATTGGGCATTATCTAGTAAATTTGAAGTTCTGCATATCCTATGATCCAGCAATTCTACTACAGACATAGACCTTCAGAAATGTGTATATACACACCTATAGACATACACAAGAATATTCATAATAGTCCCAAACTGAAAACAACCCAAATGTTCACCAACAAGATAATTGATTAAAAAACTATGGTGGGGCTTCCCTGGTGGCGCAGTGGTTGAGAGTCCGCCTGCCGATGCAGGGGACGCGGATTCGTGCCCTGGTCCGGGAAGATCCCGCATGCCGCGGAGCGGCTGGGCCCGTGAGCCATGGCCGCTGAGCCTGCGCGTCCGTAGCCTGTGCTCCGCAACGGGAGAGGCCACAACGGTGAGAGGCCCGCGTACCGCAAAAAAAAAAAAAAAAAA